ATTTCAGAAATATGTCAATACATACGTTTCATACTCATTACAAGAATTCTCTGCTTGCAATGTCTCACGTGAATCTCTAGACGTGTCATCTTAAACATCGCCATGTTCACGTATGTGAAATACTTCTGTGTTGTTATGCATAATGTAAAACATCTTTGAAATGTTTCAATACAGATGTTTACTAGTTGTTGATAATTCATCATATTCGAAACATTTCAAGGACTTCTCAGGGACGTCATTGTACAAAATGAAGGATGTCCCTGAGACGTACTTGTATTGTTACGGATCGTTGTCACAATAACCCCAGTTAACACAGGATATCTTATGGATATCCATTTCAAGTCCTATTCAAGGCGGGATATCCGTGGACATAAAATGTATATCCATTAGATATCCGATTGCGGATGTACTTGAGATATCCGAAACAAACGTCCTGAATACGTCCATAGGATATCCATAAGATACAGAGACAAAAGATCTGCAATACCTAGAAATTTCAAATCAAGTATATACAATGAATGAAATGATAAATAAATAAAAGGAGATCCACAAAAGTAACACTTGTGCGTTGGTCTTCCAAAAGATAGCACACATTGTGATGCACTATCTGTTATTATTATTAATTCGGTTTTCAAAAATTGCGCGAGGTGGCGTAACGTCTCAAATAGTCCAAGATTGGTAGAACTGATGATTATTTATAGATCATCGATTCTACCAACCTCGGAATAGTCAAATAATGTCAATCTGTTCTCATATTTGATTAATTTGAAGTGAATTTGGGAGTAATTTCTCCGAATTCGTCCAAAATTGATGATGCATAAGAACTGACAACTACATTATTTGAACGCAGTGAGACGTGAGTGCTTCCTAATTTCTGTGATTTTTTCTATATATATATATATATATATATATATATATATATATAGGGTATACTATCTCTTATCCATATCCATAGTTGATATCTTAAGGATATCCATAATGTATATCTTCAAGACATCCAAAGAGGTCACGCTGTCACATCCTATGTATCCATAGTATATCCATAAGATATACTTGTGATATCTGGGACAGTAAATTCCATTCAGAATAAATGGATAGTATGGATAAAAATGAATGTATCCATCACCCTATATATGTTATATATTTTTGAATTCAGCTTTCCATAGAGATTTTAATAATTGAATAATCTATAGGGTGCTCCATTTGAATGAAGTGTCGCGGTCGCCAATACTCAAATGATCAGGAGCTGATATTTATGGGGCCAAGCCAAAGACAAGAATCTCACTGAGCTTAGGCAAATACGCGACGGTGTTTCAGGCAGAAATTATTGCAATACATCATTGCGTGAAAGAATTGATAAGGCAAGAGTTTAAAGGCAAAACCATTACAATCTATGCAGATAGCCAGGCGGCAATCAAAGCAGTCAACTCTATGCAAGTTAACTCAAAACTAGTATGGGACTGCTAAGAAACCCTAAATGCACTGGGCAGTCAGAACAGATTGACTCTAGCATGGGTACCAGCACATACAGGGTACGAGGGCAATGAAGAGGCAGACTCACTCGCCCGAGCAGGAGCAAACAAAGCTCTTAATGGCCCAGAACCCTTCTGTGGTATTGCGAAAGCTATACAAAAAACTAGTATCAAATCATGGATGCAAACCAAATATCAAGAATGGTGGAACAACTCGCCAGGAATGAGACAGGCTAAATATTTTATTAAAAAACCATCGCCAACATTCACAGAATATCTACTAAGCCAGAAACGAAGTTCAACTAGACTGGGACTTCTCACAGGGCATTGTAGGCTCAACAAACACATGAGTACGATAGGTCTGACTGAAGAACTGCTGTGCAGGTTCTGTCAAGAACAGGAAGAAACAGCAGTACACATACAGTGACAAAGTATGTGACATACTTTGTCACTGTGAGGGCTTGTCAAGACTAAGGTTCCTTACACTGGGCGAGGAAAAACCAGGAGCCCATCAGAGATACACAGGAGATCTGAAAGCTAGCCTATGGAGTCTCATAGAGAAGGCGGGGCTAGCCGAAGAACTAATCGATTTTGAGGGCAGACACAATAGATCTGAAAAGGTCGCAGTGTGGAGGCAGATAGCCCGAAGACCCCATTCCAAATCTAATCTAATCTATTCTAAGACTCAAATGTTGATCACCCTGTATATTCAGTTTTCTATAATGAATGTGGCAATTGTCAATTGAATTTGCATGAGGTTTGTGTCTCTCTTAGCCCCCATATCCATCCTACGCTACTGTGTGTATACCTACTTCTCGATTTACACCTGTCGAGACCATTCCCCTTTTATATCCAGTTGATAAATCTCATGACCTGATAATGTCATTTTTGGCTACTAAAAACAGCAATCGCCAACATGTTTGCAAATAGCGATAATAAATTTGAAACTGAAATTTCGTTCAGCAATAATGTAGGTAGGGTATAGGCGCCATTGGGGAATTCATGTATAAAATAAATTAGAATATTAAATTTATTGTTCTGCACATCACGTGGCACCCACATCACAGTATATGCGAATATTGCGAATGAAAGAGAAATGCATGCCAAGTATACCTACAGTAAACAGCGTTAACGAAATATACAGGACGTCCCTAGAAATATTTCACCAACATATCAAGCGCTCAGACGCATTCCAATTTTTAATCAGTGGCGCCAGAAAATTTATTTGAAAAGCGTTCCCAATTATCACCCAAGATATTATGAGTCTATATATGTGATCTACTGCAATTTATCCTATCGGTCTTCCTTGGCCCACTTCCTATTTCCCTCTTCCCCTCCAAACTCAACCTCCCCATCAAGGGGTGTGGGGAGGACAGACCGCGGCCGCTCGACAGATGAAGCATTTTGGGACCATCTTGCTATCTCCGGGCCAGGTGGGACAATTTGGCTGTGTCAAGTCTGTGGTTTGACCGGGCACATACGTTCAGTATATGAAGTCTGACCATCGGTTTGACCAACCAGATGTTTGAGAATATCTTTCACGTTTGAAACCTGCCCACAAAGTTACCACGTTAACTTTTGATGGGACTGATGGGAGTCAAGTCAACCATTGGCCATCATGGCATTACCACTGTGGTCGAACGAATGACTTGACACAGCCTTTATAGACATATCTGTGGCATGATTGGGGCGATTGGCCGATATCTGTCTAGTTGGCCAAGGAGTAAGGACTGGTTAACGAGGCTCTGGCAACATAATCCAAGCTGAGGGATCCCGTGATCTCGATGAACACAACCAAAATTGGATATATATATAAATAAATACATTGAGAATTCGCATTCTCCATGTGATGAAAATATTAATTCTTTCTCGGTTTATTCAACAGAAAACAACTTCTTTTCTGGCTATATGCCACGACGGATATTGAATCACATCTATTGAACAAACACGATAAGAATTTGAAAACAAAATCTTTTTTTCTGTGACGGCAAAAAAGTTTGGCATTTCATCTCTGTTGGCAGGTTATAAAATGTCACTTTTCATAAATTACTTTTTTCCCGTGGGAAAAAAGTGAGTACTTTTTTCCCGGATATCACATATATATATACTGTTGATGGCTTTTGTTGTGCTATAGTTCCGAAAAATGAGTCAATAATACCGTCTCCGAGAAAGAACTGCAAGTCCTTTTATCTTCCATTCGACTTCGCGGTTACGTATATTGCTAAATAACCACTGAATTCGCAATTTCTTGAAATAAAATCGAAAAATTAGACCGACAGAAGTGACATCAGATATTTGATTACTTCAAATGAATGATAAAGATGCCTACAACGCGGTGTCCCTACTGTTAAAAACTTAAAATTTCACGTCGATAATTTTCAGATTTCAAAATAATGTAATATCTTCTCAATATTGATTCGTCCTTTCTTTTGTCACAGAAAAAAATAGTGTATTATACACGGGAAAAATATTAGATTTTAGCTCACGGTTTGTTGTCTCCCTCCGCTACGCGTCGGGAGACAACACAACCTGGAGCTAAAATCTACTACTTTTTTCCCTTGTATAATAAATAACTATTGAAGTAGAGAATTCGCATTCCCCTTCATATAAAGATATGCATATAATATCATTCTGGATATTCGACAGGCAACATCTACTTTCCTGGCTCTTTGGCACGTCGAAAATTGAAATTTATCTGTTGAATATCCAAAAAGAGAGCATGAAAAATCAAAATCCTCTGAAATTGAGAATTGACATTATCTCAGATTTCAGTTCGTCATATTTTTAGTTATATTATAGGGGGATGAAAATTGTGTATATCATGAAGAATGACTGAAAGAATAACTGGACTTCAGGTTACTGATGAGGATATGATATCCGAAATGAGTTTTACTCGAGTTGAGTCATATAACCTGTTTGTGAATGATATAATTCCCATATCACTGATACGAATGATTTTTTTTTTTTGAAATTTCAAGCTCATCAAGATCAGAGTTCTTAGAAGTAGGTATACTTTTCTTATACATTTCAATTTCCACTTCAATACTGAACATATTGGTAAGTTATTATTCATATTATTCTATTCGATTCGAGAGATTATGTAAATTCTCAATTCTAGAGGATTTTGATTTTTCATGCTCTCTTTTTTTATATTCAACAGATATAATTCAATGTTCGTCGTGGCATATAGCCAGGAGAGCTGTTGTTTTCTGTTGAATAAACCGAGAAAGAATTAATATTTTCATCGAACGGAGAATGAGAATTCTCAATGTATTTATTTATATATATATATCCAAGATTTTTTGTGTTCATAAATATATCTGAGAATATTCCTTTTCAATACTATTTCTGTTTGTTTTTCCTAAATCTACTGGTTATCTAACCAATACATTCATTATACATAATTCACCGACGAGTACGGTGACGAAAATACCACTGTCAAAGTTCAAAAACCATTGAAATGCAAATACAAATATCATGAATATTGCTCGCCTATGCACCCAATTAAAATAATTTTCAATTTCCTGTAATCAGTTAAACGTAGCTCAAGAATTGATGACAAACTCACGAACTAATTATTTAGCTGAAAAATCTGTCTGAATCAGATTTTTTCCATAAATCACCAGGGGTACAATCGACCTCCATCCACGCACGTGGTCCATCGTAATCACCGACGTAAGAGTTCCTTCAGAGCGCGGTTTATTTTAAAACATCGATTATCATATATCCACCGTATTATAGTTCAAGAAGCGGCAGTGTATTCACACGCAGTTGTTCATCGGTTGTTGTAGTGGTTGTGGTAGTTTTTCAGTATTGTTGATAAGGATATCCAAATCACGAAATGGGAAAACGTGAGTACCTATACCTATACTAATTTTTGAGTCGATTATGGTCACGTAACTAATAGAAAGATAGATAGATAGATAGATTTTTTTATTAATCACATTACATACATATAGTCGCTTATGACAAGTCAAGTCAATACAAGAAATGAAGAAGAAATGAAATAAAATCTAGTGATACTTAGCACAATATAAAAAGAGTCTAAAATACATACCTATAAAATATAACATCAACATACAGATTAAAAACCAGATAATAATAAAAATACATAAATGCAATCAAGGCAAAGGCATAAGTTGTCACCGTGGCAGTGGTTCGAAATATTTTTGATTATTTCTCCAAATTGTATTGGTAGTCATTGTTTGTAGTGCTCTGGTAGTTTATTGAATAATTCAACGTTTACAGTGTTTTTGGAAGACGTTGTTAGTCTGAGTCTCGGATTTTGTATCTTTCGACAATTTTTGGTATTATATGAATGAACATTGCTAGGGCAGCTGAATTTTTGTAAATTTTTCCGTATATAAATGAGACATTGATAAATGTAAATTGATGGCAAAGTCAAAATATTGAATTGCAGGACACTTTGGGCCCAACTCCGGCAATGATCCTGACAGCCCTGAGTTTTTTTTATCGCTTGGAGCGCACGAAAGGAAATCCCTATAATGTTCAAAGAACATCGTGCGTTCCTAGGGAGGATAGAAGAGAGAGAAATATGATATTTTCATTATATCCATACTAACAGACTTCTTTAGTCTCCTTAACAGAAATATTTGACTGGTCAATCTTTTACAAAGCGAGTTTATATGCACTATCCATTTCAGCCCCTGATCAAGATGTATTCCTAACAACTTGACACTCTGATTTTTAGATACATTTTGCTTAAGGTTTTTCGGAATCAATCATACATTAATTATAAGTATTATTTCTATGTCTGTATTATGTAATGAAGTTGTCTTAGAATCAGAGTGGTAGAAGGTTGCATCGTCCGCAAACATTACACAATTTATGAAATTCATGTGTAGAAATAAATCGTTTACATATATAACAAATAATAAAGGACCCAGTACTGAGCCCTGTGGGACTCCATGGTTTATAGGATGAGGTGTTGAGATTTTTGAATTGTAGTATACACTTTGATTTCTGTTTGCTAGATAGGATTTGAGAAATTCTAAAGCGACTCCTGTAACTCCATAATATTCAAGCTTGTCAAGCAAAAGCTGATGTGAGACAGTCGAAGGCTTTACTGAGATCACATAGAGTTGCAGACGTATGTTTTCCCTTTTCGAAGCCATCGACCACGTCGGACGGAGATCCGAGTCGGATTATATACCTTGAACCCCCGGACGATTCTCAAGTTTTCTACAGGGTTGGTCATGAAAACATATACACAAAACGCCAACTGTGCCGGAGCAAATCTTGCCGAAAGTATTTATTAATAATTAATAACCAGGTGCAATTTTTTCGATATTTACCTTTTTCTCCCGGACACATGCAAAAATCACTAGATGTGCATTTCAATGAGTACAACCAGGAAAACTCACTGTGCCGTGTCCGATCCTGCCGAAACCCATGTCACAGTGGCGCTACAGAGGGTAGCAAAAACGCGTTAACTACCTTTTCGCCCCAGACAAAAAAACGATCAGCAAAAAGTATAGATAAGAACCAGATGAATACAAAAAAACAACCAGTGCCGGATTTAGGGGGGGCTTTGGGACTATCAGCCCCCGGCGGTGAATTTTTAGAGGCGGTAAGGAAAAAGAGAAATAGCAAGCAGCAATATACGTGTCGCCACACACTAGTCATAAACCAAGTGATTTCGGAAAGACATACACCCTTTCTATAATCTCAACTGAAGGAAACAAAGAAAGTAATTCTCCAAAAAGACACATATATGAAGAATTAAAAATAACCTAATGATTCCCGTAATGATTAACTAATCCATATTTTGATATAAACTTGAAATTTATTTCGGTAATTTATCGAAATTTTACATAAGTAAGTAGCTAAAATCAGAGACATCGGATGTTGATTGTTCAATTATTTACTTTTTGTATACTAGTTATTGCGGGTAATACCGCGAGTTGATGAACGAAATGATTTATGTGAAAATATTTCGGTTTAGTCGAGTACAAAGAGTTTTATTTCTCAAACTTAACCACCTTGTCTAATTTTATTGCAGGATGAACTTTTCAGATATATACAGTGTGTCTCACTTATAATGGAAACACCACTGTATCTTACGTATTCGTTTGGTAGGGAACCTGAAATTTGCTGGAGCGAGAGATATAGCAAAAATGAACTTCATGACCAGGTGGGGTAATCTTTAGTGATATACACTGCTCGCCAACAGCCATGAAACCACCCCGATTTCCGAAAAAATGATATTAGGAGTCGAAATAGGTTGAAAATCACTTCGGATTCGGAGTCAGGACGCCCAATCAAATGAATATTCATATTTTTCCCAGGAAATTTTCAGTTCTGAAAATTTCATTTTTTGTCTTACTTTTCATGGAAACACCCCCGTATCTTACGTAATCGTTGGGTTAGGATCCTGAAATTTGCTGAAGCAAGAGATTCACCTAAAATGTACTCTATGACCAAGTATGGTCATCTTCAGTGATTTACACTGCTCGCCAACAGCCGTGGAACTACACACCCGTCCTAAAAATAAGATCAAGAGATAGGTTGAAAATCACTTCGGATTCGAAAACAGGACGTCCAATTCACTAACTTCCCATATTTTGACGCATTATTATCGGTATAGATTTTCTTCATACTACTACGAGAGTGTATCCATGAAAAGTGAGACAAAAATGAGTTTTTTCTACTACTGCTATGAAAAGTAGCGCATTTCTCATAGCTTACTCAGTTTAAAAACCATGTATTGCTCATACTGTGAGAAATATTTTTTCTCACGGCACTTTGCCAACATTGGCTGGTGTTCAACTTGAAGAGTTGTCAGAACTGTCAGAAAAAGTTTATTAAATTCTTCAGGGTAGTCCTCATCAGTGCTTTTGATAGAAATCGCAGTTTCCATCAAATATTATTCCAACAATTAATAATAAATAATATGATGTATGTACCAAGATGTGCCGATCTTGATAAATACACCGCTAGAGACAAAGATAATAGAAAAAGCTGCGAAAATTGGATTTGTTTCCGGAAATTTCAAGAAAAAAGTATGAATTGGCATGAACGAAGAATTTATGGAATCTAAAAAAATACAGAAATACAATCCTTTTCGGAAAGTGTACTTTTTTGAAATACTTTAAGGAACTAGGAATGGCGTCTACTCTTTGGTCACAATATTCAATGTGGCATAGTGCCACATTATAAAATGAATACCAATAACTTACATTACTCGGATTCTTTGGATAAGTGCAGTTGTAGAAAAAGGATAGTGTGCAATATGTGGACAGAAGTACTTTTCTCACTCGTGTGTCTGCATCACTCGCCCTTCAGGCTCGTGCCACAAACTTTCACACTCGTGAGAAAAGTTGAACTTTCCCCACTTGTTGCACAATATACTATTTCAGAACTGAAACTTCTTCAGGAAAAATATGAATAGTTAGTCAATTGGGCGTCAGGATTTCGAATCAGAAGTGATTCTCAACCTATTTTGCCTCCTTATATATTTTTCAGGAAGCTGAGGTGGTTTCATTGCTGTTGGCGAGCAGTGTATATCACTGAAGATGATCCCACTTGGTCATAGAGTGCATTTTTGGTATATCTCGCGCTCCAACAAATTTCAGGATCCTTAACCAACGAACTAGACAAGCCCAGTCAGCACATCCTTTCGTTGTCAACCTCGAAAGATGTCGAACAGCACTTTATCAAAACTCCTTCATCCATAGAACGGCTAGGCTATGGAATTCATTGCCTGAGGAAGTATTCCCAACAACATATTATAATCTCCAGAAGTTCAAAAAAATTCCAATACCTACCTCCTATCCCTATCCTCCCTAGGAACGCACGATGTTCTTTGAACATTATAGGGATTCCCTTTCGTGCGCTCCAAGCGATAAAAAATATACAGGGGTGTTTCCAATAGAAGTTAGACACACTGTATCTAGTTAATCTATGTTTGAAGAATATTCATTTTTATGTGCAATAGCGAGGTTGTCGCGAAAAAAATTCACTGGATCATTTCTTCACGCTCCCGGGCCCTAGGTGGTTAAAACAGCGCTAATTTATTTACTTCTTGTAATTGATAATACCGTGAGTATTGATGAAAGATTCGATTTATGTGGAAAAATATCGGTCATAGGCTCAGTGAAACAAAAAATTGTCTCTTACACTTGCTGATTCGCCCCACTCTGTCGAGGATTTCCGGTTGTTTTTTTGTGTTCAGCTAGTCCTTATCTACAGGGTGTTTCTTAAGTACGTGTAGAAAATTCAGGAGCATGTTGCTGACTTCAAAATAAGAAGAAAAGTTCGTATAAATATATGTCCGAAAGTTATTCGTTTCTGAGATACAGAGTGTCAAAGTTTGATTTTTATTTTGGTTTTTCGTTAAAAAATTTCAAAATGACTGTGATATTCGAATGAAGTTCGGTTTCTAGGGGTATTTTTCAATGACAATATCAAATTTTATGTTAGTTTGTCTCTTTCGTGGGGGTGGCGCCACCTACATGTCTTTTGAGTTTTTTGAAGAGTCATAAATTTTTGTGCGTACCTGTACCACGTTATATTAGAAAAATAGATTTCCAGAACACTTTTGTGTGAAAAATATATTCTTGATAGAGGTCGCTGCGAGCAACTGTATTTGAGTTATTGGGATATGAAATAATCGATGCATTTGAATTACTTCCATGGGGCTCGTGAAATTTCGGTCAATTATTCTTGTGCTCATCTATGGATCTTCTTCGATTGCTTGAAGAAGAGCTTCTTCAATTTCTGGAGTCCTAGTAGTCAACGGTCTGCCCATCACTGGAGCTTTTTCAATGGATCCAGACTCTATAAGACGCTGAAAAAGGTTTCTGAATGTCTGGTGATTCGGCAGTCGATG